TTTTTCCTTTCACTCAACTTTCTGTTAACATGCTTGGATACAACACTCTGTGAACAGCCAGCTTTTTTGGCAATGAATGTTTGTCAAAACAAAGGCTTACCCTCCTTGTGAAGGGTGTCAATGATTGTCTTCTGGACAACTGTCAGATCAGCAGTCTTCCCCATGATTGTGTAGCCTAGTGAACCAAACTGAGAGACCATTTTGAAGGCTCAGGAAACCTTTGCAGGTGTTTTGAGTTGATTAGCATGTCACCATATTCTAATTTGTTGAGATGTGTTTTTGTTAAATGTGAGCCAAAATCATCACAATTAAAAGAACCAAAGACTTAAACTACTTCAGTCTGTGTGCATTGAATTTATTTAATACACGAGTTTCACAATTTGAGTTGAATTACTGAAATAAATGAACGTTTCCATGACGTTATAATTTATTGAGATGCACTTGTATTTCCTAAAACTCTAAAGTTACAGCAAAAATGGCTAGAACAAATTACACAAGTTTTATAAGATTAATTGTAAGTGTTTTTATATTATTTAACGCATCACTTTCAAACAGCCCCATTAACTATACCATTGTAAGTGCCTCACCATAACCTAAATTTCTGCTTAAGGGACAACATTATGCATGCCACGAATCTAATATGCAGAGACAACTATAAGTAACCATTTGTAGACAGATTTTCCCCCAAAAAATTTTACTGTTGCACTATCAAAACTGTTCAATTTGAGCATAATGGTGTGATTTGGGGGCAGGGCTATCTGTTTTGTCGACTAATGAAAGATGAGGGGAGTGTTCAGGAAAACCTGTTTTAAAAAACAATAATTATTTTTGCAGTTCTGCATGGTGACAGAGAAATTACACACTTCAGTTTTTAAAGTCTCCATCAAACAATAAGGATTCGAGAGACGTCACAACTGCACAACACAACATTGGTTTTTATGTCAGTATAACAATCACAAAGCCTCTTCAAGCCATTATATGCATGTATATTGTGGCCATATTTCATATTCCAACATGTTTTTCATATAAAAAAAAAACTGCATTTCCTCTCTATGATGTAAAGAGTCATTAACATGCCAATAACTTGCGACAACAACATACTACACTAAAATATATCGGAGGACACTACACGACAATCTATGTGTGAAATGGTGTATTCTCTATGTCAATCTATGTTTACGAATATTGTGTATTCACTGAACCTAACGCTTAGGTATTGTTAAACATACAATTTAAAGTCGGCAAGAAACTTTCCTTAGCTATTTTGCAAATGCATGTTATAGATCTTAATATGAAAGATTCCTCCATGTGCATACATTTTATTTCATTTTTTGACCTCATAACTTTTAATGAAAGTGTCATAACTCAATCTTTTTTGTGAAAATGACAGACTTCTCTGATGAATGGCGGACTTCACAAAATCATTCAGTCTGTCCGAGTGCAACACCCACATCTCAAAATCAACTGGACTAAATGCCCAGCCCTACAACTTTTATTTTGTTATAATCGGTTGCAATCAGATGTACGTCACAATTCAGAAGAAAAGGTATGTTGCTACTTTCATTGTGACTTTAACCTAAAGGAGCATTTTTGGGTACCTTACACTTAAAACAAGCCATTTTTAAAACTTTTGAAATCTAATAGCTATGCTTGTTTCCACCTCAAAGTAAAAAATAAGATGAAGCCAAATTGATATTAAGATATTAAGGCATAATCATGAGAAATACATATCTGATTACTTTTTTTTTTTTACTTTATTTATCATGACTTTTTAGGTTTGGGGGTAGGTTAAGGGGTCTAAAATCTAAATCAGTTATTGATAAAATTATAAAAATGCAACTTACTAAACCAAACCTTCCACATCATTACCAAACAATAAATCACTTGCGCTACAGAAACCCAACACTCTTTCCACTCAAATTCCTGCAGTACAGTCTGCGAAACTTCAAAAAGACCAATCAGCGTTTATGCAAAGCTAGTCGACAACACGGCATGCGTGGCTCCAAGCCTGTGGCGAGGGAGCGTGAGCGGTTCAGGCCAAGCGAGGTCTTGTATGTGCATAATTGGTGGCCTTACACTGGCTCTTTGTGTGGAGATTAAGGGGACATGAGGAGGGATTGGGCGGGCTGTGTCTGGACAAAGGTTGGGAGTGGGTTGTGCGGTGGAGGAT